TCCTGGCTGAACCCAGCACAAAGCTTTATCTGCTCTGAGAGTGCAGCAGTCAGAGGGAAACTTCACTGGGAGGTAGCTTTAAGCTGCCAGATCCAGGGCACAACAGCAGAATTGGTGTGAGCACCATCCCTAAACACAGAGATGTTTCAGGACTGCCTAGGTATGTGCAAGGAGGATGGTATCTGTGTATGGTACATATGCGGTTCATCTTACATTACAGCTGTGGTTAAGGATGTGTTGAGAAGCACGTTAACAAAACTCTCTTCTGCTACATACTTCTAGTGGTCAGAAATAGGGCTTCAGATCTGTGAGTGTATGTTTCTGTTTTGACTTATTAGGGCTTTGTTTTGTCTTAGTAGCAGCATCTCCTCTGAGAGAAGATCGAAACAGTGACTTTCTGCATTTAAATTATACAGATTTGATTTAATGTTCTGGGCCTGAGAGGGCAATAACTCTGAACTACCAAAGGAGTGAGCATAGCAATGGTAATGATGCTCAGGATGCTTTAAGTAGACATAATGTTGCTTCATGTATTTTGAAACTGCTAGCTTGGTTCCAGTAGAAAGATGATAGCTCACTTCCAGATTATGAGAGATTTTGATATAATTAATTCACTTCTGCCTAACATGGAATTAGTAAACTCTTAATGGCACTCAATATTGTGATATGAACTATGGTGATATTTTAAAGAATTTAAGAATAAATAGACATAGGAGTTCAGACCAACCTTGAAAGTTAATATATCTGAAGTTAATGGTTATTATACCCGTGTCTAAAACATCTTGTTTCAAGTCGATAGTCTTAGAACTGAGTTTCATAGATTCAGTCTGTAACAGTAAAATGCGATAAACTGCAAACTTTATAACTCGAATCAACATACGTTTGGATCACTCTTTTGTTACTCAGCACAAAAGTGCCCTATGAGTTAAAATCTTTTTCTTATTTTCAAAATACAATTAGAGGAATGCGTTCATACTCCAGCTACCATCACAAGTGGGTAACAGCCTTTCTTGCAAAAAAACCCCACCAAACCCTGCAAAAATTATATTGAAGCAAAACAAACTCATTGACAGACTGAATCATTATAAACTTCCTTTCAAGTGCTTTCTCAGGGACAGTTATGCATCAGTACAGGCATAATCTAGGGTAGGCAGGTGAGATTAAGATACTTCCCAAACCACTATGATAATGCTCAGTAGCATTAAAGCTACTCCCTGCCATTGGCAGGCAGGTTCACTGCCCTTCAGTGGGAAAAAAAATAGAGACACACATTCTGCTGCTGCAAGCACACTTTAAATGCTTGCTGGAGTAGGGCCAGTTCACAAAGAGGGTGGAGATGGCTCTCCAAAAAAGAGCAGCATCAACCCATTCTGGCTTCATGGCAGGAAATCCCAGAAGGGTACGTTGAGTACCATGTAAAGATGACCATCACCATCTTCAGAATGGGCTAATATTGCAGGACATGATTTATTATTTATTTATTATTTGTTTATTATTTATTTATTATTTATTATCCCATGATTTATTATTAGGATCTGAGTTTTCAAAGCTCTGAGTGCTGGCTGAACACTTCTGTCATACTCAGTGCCATATTCAGCACTGATTTGAATGGGAACCTAATTAAATCACTTTGAAAATGCCAAGCACTGGACAACATCATGGCATGGAGAGGGTGTGGTAGGAGTATGGCTTTTACTCTTCCATATATTGAGGCATGCACATGTCATGACGTAGTAATAAAACAGGGTAAACACAAGGGGAAATGCAACACCTTCCAATCATTTCCAGCTTCATCTGATAAATTCCCGCTGGAAAACACCAGCTGCTGTGAAGAAAATTAACTCTATCCAAATCAAAACCAGCACAAAAACGTTACCATTCATGTTTTCTCTTCACTACTTAGAGTGAACAAAAATGTCAGAAATGCATTTCCCCTTGCACCCTACCCCTGCTTGGTGTTCATCCGTCTGTCTGCTGACCTGCCAGAAGTGCTTGGACACCAAGGGCCCCACACCGACGTGTGAATGCTGACTGAACCTGACACTGCTGCTCTGAGCTGCACCTTCAGCAAACAGCCCCCAGCTGTACTCCACAAATCACATAGGTATCAGTGTGTTCAACAGGGCTGGAGAGGCCCTCAACACCCTGCCTGGTAGGATTCGGTTTTAACAGTTTTCTTGAAACATTCTCTATCCTAGTTGTTTTCAGCATCTATGGTGAAAACAAAATCATGATATATTTCTTTGCATACAGGTCTTAACAAAACCAATTGCGACAGGTCATTATTATAAGCTGTCATTAGTGGGCTTTTGATAATACAAAAAGCGTGGACCAATGATCTCTGCTTCTTCTCTTGCTTCATCCCTAACCAAATAAACTCAAATACACATTTGTAAATTTATGACATTGTGAATGACTGGTAGATGATTGATGCAACTTTGGGTCCTGTTTTTGTAAACATTCTGTGCAAACAGTATACACTAGCTTCATGAAGAACTAAAACTTACTGGAGAAGGCCTCTGCCACTCAATTCTCAATGTCCAAAAGTAAGATTTTCACAAGCCATTACTGCTAACATTATATTGGGTAAAAAGATAAGGGAGAAATGCACACAAAAAAAGGGATTATGCCCATGGACAAACTGTTGTAGGCAGCAAAAGTGAGAAGTACCACTGCCATGGCCAAAAGTACCTGTTGAATGTCTTCCCAGTTTCAGCATCCGCAGGGCTCTGAGCAGTCTCAGCACCTGGACAATGCGCCCCACGTTCTCCAGTTCCTGGGAGCTCTCCCCACCACACAGGCTCTCCACTAGCAGGGTGATGTAGAAAGGTAAAATAGCAAGGAGGTCTATGATGTTTGCCACACTTCTTAGGAACCGACACCGATCCCGTGCACACAGGAACCTCAGAACAAACTCCACAGTGAACCACGCAATGCAGAGGTACTCTAGGGCGTCCAGTAGTGGTGGTGCCAGCCAGCTTAGCTCTACTGAAATCAAAGCCATGTTGGCAATGGACACAACAACAAAAGCCATGGACAGAGTGCCGAAAGTCCTGGCTGCTGCAGAGGAGCCGGGCTTTTCCAAGACTTCCCAAAGTTTCTGTCTGACACTGGGACAGAGGGTACCAGAAAAGTCCTCTTCCTCATCTTGGGCATCCAGTTCTTCTGCATCTTTTTTGATGTCTAAGGCTTCACTCAACTCCTTCCTCCTGAAGTACCTGCCCAGAACACACACCCCCCACCATGAGATTTTTAATACCAGTATGTATAAGTTTTGCTTATCCCCTACCATGTGAGTTATAAGAATACACATTCATTAACATATACCTTATGCCAGCTTAGAAAACCCTGATCTCAAGCATACAGTTGATGGCTTTCATAAGAACCATTGTTTCCATTGACCTGACACCTCCCTCATTTCATGTCAGGGACAGTTCCTATGTGCACAGCAATATTATTCTGATATCATGTTTTTTATATGGATCATGCTGGCTACAGTAGAATCTGCTGGATGACTACCATGGATTCTTGTAAGCTATCACAGAATCATAGAACGGTTTGGGTTGGAAGGGATCTTAAAGACCATCTAGTTCCAACCCCCCTGCCATGGGCAGGGACACCTTCCACTAGACCAGGTTGCTCAAAGCCTCATCCAGCCTGGCCTTGAAGACAGCCACGAATGGGGCACAATCCTGGCAGAACCAGACACTCTGTCTCTAAATGGTCCTCAGTTTTATTAATTACGCTGCATTTTTATTACATTGGTGTGTATCTGCAATATTAAAAGGGAAGGCATAATAAAAGTTCATGGATGAAGTTCTGATCAATACACACTAAGATGACAAGTTATCTTACTTCCATTAAATATATAGGTCCTTACACAACAAAGTTGCAGAAGCATCTGTGCCAAGTAAAACTTAGAGATCATAAATGCATAGCTGAGTGTTTTCTTAGGGTATGAGTGTATTTACAGAAAAATTTAATGAAACAAAAACATTGCTAAAGTACACAGAAAAAAAGGTTTTCTTTCACATCCGTATTTCTTGACTGCTGCAAATCTCAAGCCTTAGACAGAGGTGCTGTGCAAGTTTGCCTTCATTTGATACAGTTACTCCAAAGAGCTCTGTAGTTTCTTGTACCACCAAAGAAGTAGGAGCTTTCCATTACACCTACCAGGGAAGGAAGAAAGGGAAGAACTAGGATCCAGCTCTCTCAGCTGCAGAATTGGACCATGCTGGGGTAGGGCAACTCTAGTATACTTGTGGGGTGGGGTTGCTTCTTTGTTTCTTTCTAATAATTTTGCTTTAGATAAATAGCAGTTATAGTCTTTAAAGAATTAATTTCTTCAGTACCAAAAACCAAACCACTAACCCTAAAAATGGTGGCAAAAATTTAAAATTAACTGCAAGAAGAATTATCAGAAGTGTCTTGGGGGTGGTTCAGTAGAAACCCACCTCGTTTCTAAGCTGCCTGTTACTATCTGTCTCCAGTGAGCCATGTTCCCACTGTTGCTGCCCCCTCCCTGTTAGCTGCTACATCCATGTGCAATGCTTCCCATCACAGCTTCTCTTGGAGCCATGCCACCCACACTCAGCCTAGCATCTGACCACCCCCCTTCTGCCTCTTCAGTTTGGATCTGGAAATCCTCCAGAAGAAGTAGTGCAGGGTGGGGAGGCTCCAAACTCTCCCAGCATCACGCCTGACTTCACATCCCATCTTTTTAACTAGGATGACCCCAAGTTTGATGACTGAAAGGATATCTCTCCTTTCACAACTACTTTCATCTCCAGCATTGTCTTTTTCAAACATTTTGAGCTGGTAGGGCCAGTCTGAAGCCTGTACAGGATGACAGAGATCCTGCTCCTGTTAGGGTCTCACTGTCTTGACCCCACCGCCACCCATCCATCTCTAGAGCAGGATTCAGGGCTGAACTCGTTCAGCTTTGAGCATGCTTTTCCCAATGCTCTGCTACCTAACCTACCCACACTGCTAGATCTCTCAGCTGTGTGTCCCTGCACACAAGTCAACGCTGAGCTCACCCAGCCCACAATCCTGTGTGCCACAACTTCCCACAACTCACCGGTCTCTGCAGCAGGACAAACCCCAGTACTGGATCTCTTGCAGGAAGGAGAGTGCACAAAGCTGCTCCATCACATGTAGCCTCCCTGTCTGGTAGTAATTCAGGATGTAGTGAAATGCCTGTGAGCTACGGTCGAAGAAATACTCATTCTCCACGAGGTTGGCATCATCACAAAGCTCAAGGAGGCCAGAGGCTACATCCCGGGCAGCAGAGACCACTACAGCCAGTTTGCCCAGACGGGTGTCAGGGTAGCAAGACAAAGTTTGCTGGGACATCACAAAGCGGCTGCCTCCGACGTTGATAGTAAAGCAGTCCAGGGAGGGAATGACCTTCTGGAGCAGGGGCCCCTGCTCTTCCTCACTGGAGAAAACACTGGAGTCCAGGGAGCCCAGGGATGTGCTACTCCCTGGTTCCTCCAGGGATGCTTGGGAAGAGAGAGACATACAGCAGGGAGGCGACTTCATCCTGTAGCTGCCAGCAGCAGCCCACACTCTCCTGGATGGAAAACACAGCAAAGCTGCAGGGAAGACTGCCCCGCGGGGGGTGGGGGGCCGGGCCAGCCTAGCAACGTATGGCTGTGCTGTGGGTACCGGCCCGGGGACCCTCACCGTCCCTGCTGCCTCGGAGCGGTGCCCCCATCTGAGCCG